CTGCCATGAGCCAGCTGCTCTCTGCTTCCCCTGAATTCCTCAGCCCTGACTATTGGCAGAACATACTGGATACTGTGCTCAGGAAATCTTAAATCCATCTTCCACCTTTGGGATGAGCTCAGACCCAGGATTGGACTTATAAAATCCAAGCTCCTCCGTGGTGAGGAGGCAGCCTCCTGCACCTAGCAACAGAGATACCAGGCCAAGTATGATTGGTCACTTCACTCTCATGGGAGAGAAGGCATGAGCGGATTGGCTGGAGAAGCCAGTGGGCACTATTCTTAGAAGCAAATCCATGCAAAGAGAGATGGTCAGGCTTGCCCATCTTCAAAGAGGATAGTCGCAGCTGAGAACTCCCCATCTCACCCAGGCAGGCCGGAACAGAGAACTATTCAATGAATGGGTCCCATTTCAGCCACACTCCCAGCAGGTTTCAACCATGGTATTCCCAGGAAAGTGGGCCCAAACTCTCAGTCTGTTCATGGGGCAGAACTATTTGCAATAAAGTGAAAGCTTCTGGAACTCAGAGGGTTAAGCCTAGATTAACCAGAACCAACCTATGCACGTTCCCCAGAGTGCCCCAGCACCCGCAGGGGAGGGTGTGTTTCTGGAAGGTAGGCAGAGTTCCAGCCACATCTGGGAGAAGCCAAGAGCTTGCAAGCCGGAGGGCTTTGGGTGTGATGTGGCCCAGCTGCTACTACACAGATCAGGAATCGGTGGCCCAGAGAAAGGGAGAATTGGTCCTTGGTCACTCGGGTACTTATAAGCAGATGGGCCTGGGACCCCGCTGGTCTGTCCAGGGCTCTTCCCTCTGTACCACCCAAGCCTACAGATCCCGAGTTGGGCCTGGCTCTTGTTGACCCTCATACCTTTGCGTATGTACCCGGGACACCTTCCCCTCCACCTCCACCAGGTAAGCCCCCACCCACTCTTCAGTTTTCACCCTGGGATCACCTTGCCTAGAAAGCCCTCTTGGGTGCCCTCTTTGTTCGTCTTTATGCTCCTGAGGCCTCTTTCATGCACATCACAGCTCTGGTCACACTGGACTCTCACTGTCTGCTTACATGCTTGTCTCCCCACAAGGCGCGACCCCCTGAGAACAGAGTCAATCTGCCCCATCCTCACGTCTCCGCCAGCCTGGTCAGGTCCAGGGCATAGTTAAAGGCTGATAAGTAAATGTCTCTTCAGTAGAGGAACAACAGACTTTGGTATTTTAATCTCACTACCAACCTGATTCCCATTTTCTTTGTGTCCAGCGCTGTGCTTGGTGGGAGAAGGAAGGGGAAGACTGGAGGTCCAAGCCCCACCCTGAAGAGCTTCCAGTCCAGACCAGGGCAAGTGTGTTAAGTCAGGGGCTCAGGCATCGTGCGCTCAGGGTTATTACTCAGAGACCTGGGTGCCAGGATTGGGAGCACTAGACGGGGCTGGAACTGGTTTTCCCCTGGCCTGAGTGCCCATGCAGCAGGCAGACCCTAGGAGGGAGCTGCCTGCTTCCCTAGGTCTTCCCAGCCTGTTGTAAAGCTGTGAGGCCCCCTGCCCTGAAGAGCTCCCAGCCCCCATTGCACAGCTCCAGGGGGGGTTTCTTTTCTTTTTTCTTTTTTTTTTTTTTTTTG